GATTTGCACAGCAGTAAGTTATGTATGATTCATTTGTCTTTAATATAAAAGTTTAGCAGTGCCAATTGCAAGTATCCTGAAAATATAAATAAGACAAAAAAGACGGGGAAAGGAGTCAAAGAAAGATCCTCTGCCCTGGCCTTGTAACGCAGAGCTTGTCACTGCTGCTAGTTATGTCTTCCCTTTAGAACATGTGAAAATTTCACAAGCTGATTTTTGATTTACCAGGCAGCAGTTTTCCATATCATATTCATCCATATCATATTATCTTCTACCTGGTTTTCCTAGAGTATCTGTGTGTGTGCTTATACACATGCATGGAGGACCCTCTTCTCTTGTCCTGTACGTTATCCCCTGAGACAGGGTCTCTCATTGAACTTGAGATACACAGCAGATACTCAGGCTCAACTGACAGGTGGTCATGGCCATGCCCTGCCTCTTATGTGGGTATTGGGGATCCAAACCCAGGACCGCATGTTTGAGCAATGTGTGCTGTTACCCACCCAAACATATCCCCATCCTATTCCTGCCATATTTTTGGTGATGATGGGTATTCCATTTTATAGATGTATGAAACAGGAATAATTGACACAAAGGCCATGATTCTGCTGCCGTGCCCCCGTTACAAGGTAACATTCTTCTTTTGATGTGGCCGTGATTGATTTGCAGAGCCTTGCTGTCCTCCACCAAGGCACTCTAGGATGAACGGACCCACATACCACACACACGAGGAAACAAGGGTGAGACACTCACAGAATCACAGAATCAGAGGCTTGCCTTGGGGATAAATCAACAATGGATTTCATTTGTGGTTATTGAACCTTTGTGCAGTTTTGTTTACACCGTTTCCTTTTATCTTCGGAGCAAACTGTAGACTTATCAAAGGGAACTGAATTTGTGAGTGATGGGCTCGTGGTGGAGAACTAAGAACGGACCGTACCAGTCATCCATTGTTGTTGCTGTCCGTGACTACCATGGGGCCAGCGGGTCCCATAGAGTGTTCCTGTGTTTTAACAAGGGAGACAAGTGACCTAGCCTTGACAGACATATGATGGAATGACCCCCAGCAGCTGCCAGATTGCTCTCTAACTGGAACTGTCTGGTGATAGCGTCCCCCTCAAAGTAACATCTCGGGGAAAAGACACCCACTTCTGCAACTGCTGAGTGGCTGGGAGCCAAGGTCACATGAAAACTCAGACTTAGGGTCAGGGAAATATGAAGTGAGCTTCCTCCACTTCAAATAACTCCGGGGATAAGGTTTAAGAAGTGGCTTTGGGATGTTCTAATTCATAGGTACTGTTTGTGCTACCGGTAGTCAAGTAAGTTTATGGGCAAAGCTCTTGTGATCGATATTCTGGGATGGCCCGGATTGAGGGTTGTTTTGCTCCTCTTGGTATCAGGAATGACTCGTTGAAAGTAAAAATCTGCTAAGCATTTTGTCATTTGAAACGAGAGACATTTAACAGAGGGGATTGCCATTTTAAAATGTGGCGATCACCAAATAATTATGCCGTCTGATCACTGTTCATACTTTTGTTGAGGTTCCAAATTAGGCACTGTGAGAGGTATGTGCAGAATCTTTAGAAATTATGTCAAATATTGGTAGTGTCTGCTTTGTCTTTATAATTTTCCAAGCAAAGAATTCAGGCTCTAATAAAGGGGTATTTTATCAAATAAAGGACGTGTGTGTTGTGCATAAGTGACGGAGGGCTGGGCAAATGGCGGGGCATACAGAAGACTGGGCTGTGTGAGGGGGGTCTCTCTGCATTGTAATTTTCCTGTAAGGTTGAAATTATTTCAAAAATCAAAGTTAAAATTTTTCCTCTTGACAGTTGATTTGGGTCAGATGAGCACCATGGTGTCTTAGGCAGGTCGTGGGGGTTGTTAGACCTTGGGAAGGAACTTGCTGCCTCTGCCACAGGACACGGTTGCTTGCTGTGTTAACCCTGGTGAGTGCAGGAGGTAAGACCATCTATGGCTATTTTATCGCAGAGAAGTCAGCCCTGTAAAAGCCCATGCTCAGTAAATCCACGCGGGGACCTTCCCTCGTACTGAAGGAAGCAGCAGCCTTTTGAAAAGACACTGCTTCATGAGAGAGAAGAAAGGTCCAGGCACGTGGAGCACCCGGATGTTGCTCCTTACTTTGTTTCTTTTTCTCAGGGCTTGTGGGAAGCTGCCAGGATGAAACAGCTCAGAACTTGGAGAATTTTAGGGGAAACACAGTTTTAATCAGTCTGCCATCTTTCGCATTGTTCAGAGATAAAAAGAGCCGGAAATCGACCTTCCCTCAAAATGTAGGTGGTGAGAACCTGTGAGCCACGAGACTTTTACTGGAATTACACTGGAATTAGTGTTCATATGTATTTTTCTTTCTTGCTTTTAACTTCCCTCCTCATAGTCGCTACCTCCTTTCCCTGTTCCTGTTCCTTCCCTCTTTTGCCTTGTTCTCTTTCCCTTCCTTCTCCCTGTCTTTTTGCACCATTGGGGTTTGAACCCAGGGTCTTTGCACCTGCTAGGCAGGTGTTGGACCATGGGGTCCCATCCCCTCTTCCATCTCCTAATCTTTTCTTTCTCCTTCTTTTTGAATCCTTTTTTAAAATATGTCTAGCCCAGGCTGGTTCGAACTGGTAATCCTCCTGCCTCTGCCTCCTTCAGCAAATCCTACTGGCGAAATCAGCTTCTTTTTATTATTTAACACACAGGGATGGAGACGTACAAGGAGGCAAACCAGAGAAAGGGAGTAGTGTCGAATCCCGGCAGCGCTGGCCCAAAGTCTGAATGAATTCAGTTCCCCACCTGTCTGTCCCAGTAACCAAGAATTGCTCGTGACTCAGGCTCTGGTCCTTTGTTTCCTTGGTTCCCCGTGAGATTGTACCGTTTACTGGTCTAACTTTCATGTGATTCAATTCAAAGCAAACTTTTGTTTCGTCCACAGAACAAGTAATTTCCTGAAAATGAGTAATTAAAGGCCTGAAATCCTCTAAAGAATGTTCAGGCCTGTGTCAGCTCTGCTTCCTTTGGGGAAAGAGAACTCTGGCCTTAAACCTGCAGCTTGGGTTTTGTGCACTTCGTGAGGACCCGTGGCCTCCTCTCTGGGTAACTCAGAGTTCTATTGGCATCCATGGTTGGCAGCACGGATGTCCATCAGTGGGGCATATGTTCTAGAATGTAGACTCTAGGTGTTTGGGGAGGGGTGTATGCATAAGCATATGTAGTGTGTATGCCTGTATAAAGAGTGTATACGCCTGTATAAAGAGAGTGTACGCCTGTATAAAGAGTGTGTATGCCTGTATAAAGAGTGTATACGCCTGTATAGAGTGTACGCCTGTATAAAGAGAGTGTACGCCTGTGTAAAGAGTGTGTATGTCTGTATAAAGGGCGTGTACACCTGTATAAAGAGAGTGTACGCCTGTGTAAAGAGAGTGTACGCCTGTATAAAGGGCGCATACACCTGTATAGAGTGTATACGCCTGTATAAAGAGTGTGTACGCCTGTATAAAGAGTGTGTACGCCTGTATAAAGTGTGTACGCCTGTATAAAGAGTGTGTACGCCTGTATAAAGAGTGTGTACGCCTGTATAAAGAGAGTGTACGCCTGTGTAAAGAGTGTGTACGCCTGTGTAAAGAGAGTGTACGCCTGTGTAAAGAGTGTGTACGCCTGTGTAAAGAGTGTGTACGCCTGTATAAAGAGAGTGTACGCCTGTATAAAGAGAGTGTACGCCTGTATAAAGAGAGTGTACGCCTGTGTAAAGAGTGTGTACGCCTGTATAAAGAGAGTGTACGCCTGTATAAAGAGAGTGTACACCTGTGTAAAGAGTGTGTACGCCTGTATAAAGAGAGTGTACGCCTGTATAAAGAGAGTGTACGCCTGTGTAAAGAGTGTGTACGCCTGTGTAAAGAGAGTGTACGCCTGTATAAAGAGAGTGTACGCCTGTGTAAAGAGTGTGTACGCCTGTGTAAAGAGTGTGTACGCCTGTATAAAGGGCGTGTACACCTGTATAAACAGTGTGTATGCCCATATAAAGAGTGCATATGCCCGTATAAAGGGCGCATACGCCTGTATAGAGTGTGTATGCCTATATAAAGGGCATGTATGCCTGTATAAAGAGCGTCTATGCCTGTATATAGGCACACAGTTTGCTCAGGCTAGTGTGCATGTGGAAGCCAACAGTCAGCCTGGATCTTACTCCTCAGATGCTGGTCTGGCATAGGCTGGCGGGTCAGTGCCCTCCAGGGATCCCTTGTCTCTGACTCCCGGTGAAGGTCTGTGACCCTGCACCCAGCTTTTTCTCTCTGGGTTCTGGGGACTGAGCTGAGGTCCTCATGTTTACACTGGGAGCAGTTTACTGGCTGAGCCATCTCCCCAGCCCCTTAAATAAGTGCTTGAAAATAAGATTTTGATATTTGTATTTTTTTTTCTTTAGTTTTCTTGGTTACCTTGATTCCAGTGTCTGTATTTTTGATTCATTTCTTGGGGAGCAAATAATAATGGTTTCTTGTGTTTGGAAAGAGAATTTGTGAAGCAGTCCTGGAACATTCATTGGAGAGACTGAATAAATGGAGGCTTTCTGATCACTGGCAGCAAATTGCCTTATTAAATATGACCATGTAGTAGCATGAAAAGTCCTGGTTCCTAGCTGGCTGATGGTGTCCTGGGGAGGAGGGGGCTTGCAGTACTGACACCCAGGCTGTGAGGTGCCTTCCACCTCCCCTGTGCAGCCATGCAGAGCCCTGCCACATCTGCATCCTGCTTTGGTCTGGTGCAGCCTGTCACCCAGAGTCACACAGGTCACACCTGCTGTGACAGTCCCAGCCCCAGCCAATTGATGCCTTTTTTTTAATTAAAAAAAAATTCTCCTGGCTGCATATCATCAAGAAAAACAACATTGTTTTCAGGGTCTCTTATCTCTCCACTCCCAAATATCCTGTTTCTTTGGGCTGGGCAGCCAGGACCAATAGAAACCTCTTCCTGCCATTGGTTGACTTCATTTCCCAGACTTAGCACAATCTCATCCGCTCTAAACAACCTCATCAAAACTACTTTCTGGTCAGAGAGAAGCAATAATTATTATTAACATTTATTAACGATCAATAAACTTGATTGCAATATGGCCAGCACGATTAAGGTAAGGAGAGGGTTCCTCTACATTTGACAAAACCTTGCTCTTCTTGCGCTTGGCTTCCTTTATCAAGGCAGATAAGTTAGGGTTGGGCAACACCCCCCCTACCACAATAGAGGACAACGAGATTTCCTTTGCGCTGCCTAGTAAATTTCCTTTTTCCTACTCCGACCATCCGCAAGGCTTAAAAACTTCAAACTCGGAAAAAAAAATTGGGGTTTCTAAATTCTCTGTTGAGCGCCATGGATTACTCTTGTTGGTGGCATTTGGAGCACTCCTGAATTTTCAGATTCTTTACCTGTTCCTAACTGTGTCTGGATGTGGGTCTGATGCGAAGCAACCCTCACGGAGGCTGGAGGGCAGGGTCACAGCGATGGGCTTTGTCCATGGCGAATGTTTGGATGCACTTCTGGGACTCCTCACCAACAGGCATGCCGGCACGTCCCTACGGAAGTGGGGAGATTTTCTGTGGCTGTTGGTAGCAGGATGGACAGAGGTTGACTTGAATTGTGGGACGCCTCCATGCTGAGAGGACTGAGCCGTCTCAAATGGTGGTAATTGGGTGTGCTGGTTTACGTGTCTATCACAAATAAAACACCTGCCCTTCTATGCGCTGCAAGCTTTCTTCCTAGTGTGGTGTGTGGGAACTGGGAAGCGGTGGTCTGTGGGTCTCTCCTCAGTTGTGTTTGTTTCTGTGTGTTTTCTTGTAAATATTTCTGGGAGGAAGCTGGTAGGGTTTAACACGGAGACAAATCCGCACAGGCGGTGAATTAAGTACGGGCTGGTTGACACAGAAGTCGGTGGAGGCAGTGGAAGTCTGAGGTGGTGGGTTTGTTAAGCAACGTTCCAGGCCGCCGGGCGTTAATGACATTTGTAGCAATGGGGAAAACTAGCAGCCTACATAGACAAAGAAAGTGAGCCAAAGAGTGTGTTGTTTGTTATGTCTATAGCTTGGTGTCACAGAGATGGGACAAGACTTGTCTGTCCACTACTGCTTCGCTTGAAAACTCATGAAAGTCGGGGTTGCCCACAGCCGAGATGAGGCATTAGAAAACCCTCTTTGGTTAATATCTATTGCGTTATGTATCAGGTAAACATTGTTTCAGAGTTCCATCTAATTTTCAGCCTCAGTATGTATTCTATCACGTAATAAGTAATGTACCAAAGTCTTAGAACTTCACCTTCTGTGGCTTCAAGGATTAGGGCCAGCTGCAATATTGTGACCTAGAGGGAATTTTAAAAGTGGGCTAAGTGAGTAGAAATGACTGGATTTTGATAACCCCAAATTCTGCCTTTTTGGATTGTGCTTTAGACTCTTAATTCTATTTCATAGACTCTTAATCCCTATTTCATAGCAATTAAATCAAATATTCTTTGTAAATCTTAGATAGTTTGAGCAGACACTTATGTGGGTTCCTCCCCACTTCCCAAGCCAATGCTTTAAAGCACAGACAGAGCAGGCCGCCGCCGTGTAGGAGGTAAAGTACATTTTGACAAACACTCCGGTGTGTTACGCTGTTTCCTTTAAGATCCCTGTTAATGAAGAAGTTGCTTCTGAAGTTTGAAGTCATTTTTGACTCCTGAATACATTCGGAGACAATCACTTGCTGCTGTGTAGGACTCTGGGCCTGTTTGAATTTTGTGCTGTATGACATCGTATATCTCCCTGTGATAGAAACGACTTCCCGGGATTCTTTAAGGCCCCTGTTAGAGCGGTCTCCCCTGCGAGTTAACTTTGCTGAAGATCAGCCTCTGTGAGGTTCTCTGGGTATAGTGAGGGGATTCCATGGCTTTGTTTATGGAGTGGGCAAAAGGCCTTGTGTCCCTTGACTGCAGCTTTAGTTCCGCTAGCACAAGCCTCAGATTAGCAGAGGGAAACATCCTCTCTGAAGTTGAGACAGTCCCCACAGGGGCATTTTCCCATGGCAAATAGGCTTGGAGTTTTAGGTGTTTCGGTAAACAGATCAATGAGCCCTTTCACTTGCAGGCACCGTGTTTGTGTCTCCTTTCCTTCAGCCACACTGAAGCCTGGGAGCACTATGCTGGTAGTCTTACTGGGCTCCAGAACACGGCGTTTCAGTGGGGGAAAGGTGAAGGTATTTTAGGTTTCTCTCTGCACATTCATGGGCTTCAGGATCAGGCCAAGGGCCCTAATAAAAACATGTTGGCATCTCTGTGTGCAAGCATCTGGAAGATGGCTCTGAGGGCTTCTTACAATCCTGAGGGATGACTGACCCTGGATGCCGCTGTTCCTCATGTAACCCTCTGCACGTCAGTTAGGGGTCTAATTCAGCCCTCCAGAGATTATTCTGACCTTATTTGCAATACCCATAGCTTAAAGAAGCCTATAGTGTCCTGTATTTAAAAACACTGTGGTGGGGGGAGGGGGGGCAGACTGAATAGGGTTCCATTAGAAAAACATTCTAATTCTGAACAACTGGAGACTGTGAGTCCCTAGGTAGAAAGCCTTAAGTCTAGAGTTGAATCTTTTAAGTGTGTGGATGTACATGTGTGTCTTTGTGTGTGTGTATGTGTCTTTGTGTGTGTCTGTGTCTGTGCATGTGTGTGTCTTTTTGTGTCTCTGTGTCTTTGCATGTGTGTATGTGTCTTTGTGTGTGTCTGTGTGTGTGCGTCTTTGTGTGTCTCTGTGTCTTTGTGTGTGTGTTTGTGTGTATGTACATGCGTGCATGTGTGTTTGTGTGTGCACATGGAAGGAGCATGTTCAAACGGCACCTTGAGTGGAAGTAGCTCAGGAGTCAGGCAGGATGTGGAAAGTCCCTAAGGAGGCCCAGGGCGCTCAGAAACGGGATGATAGGGAACAGCAATCTCTGCATGGGCTTTAATGGTTGCTGCTAGGCAGCATAACTACAGCTGTGTTCCCGGCTGGTGTCAAAGGAATAGGCATGGCCTCCCTCCTCCCTGCTTAGTCCGGGATTCTGCGACAGTGGAAGGAACTCCAGGTGCTAGATGTTATTGTTCTGCATAACTGCCACATCCCAGAGCTGCTCCCCCACCCTACCCCACCCCACTCCAGCCTAGGTGTTTGAAAAGACAGCAGCATCTCCAAGATACTTACTGTGTGCACTCGGGAGTATTCTCAGATTCTCTGTGGTATAGCACATCCGTGAAAGCTGTGTGTGTGTGTGTGTGTTTGTGTGTGTCTGTGTGTGTGTTTGTCTCTGTGTGTGTGTCTATGTCTGTGTGTGTGTCTCTGTGTATGTATGTCTGTGTGTATATGTCTGTGTATATCTGTGTGTGTATGTCTGTCTGTGTATGTCTGTGTGTGTCTGTGTCTGTCTGTGTCTCTGTGTGTATGTCTGTCTGTGATGTCTGTGTGTGTCTGTGTGTGTGTCTGCCTGTGTGTGTCTGTGTGTGTGTCTGTGTATGTCTGTGTGTGTATGTCTGTATATGTCTGTGTGTATGTCTGTGTGTGTGTCTGTGTGTGTGTCTGTGTGTGTGTCTCTGTGTGTGTGTCTCTGTGTGTGTCTCTGTGTGTGTGTGTCTGTGTCCATCAGTCACCCCGAATGGTGGCCCTGTATTCTCCCCTCTCATTGAACACACAGCAGCTCTCCCTGCAGGACTCCCCTGTCTGTGAATGTTCCAAAACAATATGATTCCCTCATCATCTCTGTCTCCTTTAAACTCATTGTTATTTTTTTTTTGCTGAAAAAAACAGACCGTGATTTTTAAAAACATATTCCCAAGCACACTCGTGCACACTCAATGATTCTTAGAAAAGCGTACACATAAAATAAAGTAAATCTTGAAAAGCAAACGAAGCCTTCAGGAAAGTGATACTCGTGTGGAGCGGCTTAGTTCCTTCAGCTGAGAGGCACTGATTGAGTTGCCGGTGCTCACGGGGCATACAGCCTCAGCAGAGGAAATTTGCAGAGGTGGTTTTGACACAGTGTGCTTTCACACCGTCATGGTGGGCCTTGTCCAGTTGCTATAGAGGCTTCTGCTTCCATGGGCTGAAGGACGCTGCTTCCTGCCCTGCCCTCAGGACACTATCAGATCACCCCAGAGGCCAGCTCTTACGTCCTGTGGCCACAGACACACTTGCACTTGGGGGCTTGGGCGTGTGATACCAGCTCTCACTGTCATGTGGTGACCCTTCCTCATGCTGGCGTGAGCCAGCACTCAGGAAACGGCAGCTGCCACGGGATTCTTCAGGATGAACTGCCATGCTTTCTGATGCACCTTTTCCTCCGTGTTTCACACAAGCCAGCGTCAGGAGTAAAGCTTACAGCCACGGACGCTGTCTGGGTGGTTTCACAGACACAGGGCAAGCGGCAGGGTCTCTTCCAGCTTCTATCATAGCCTCCGAGCCTGTGGCAGAGTATATGGGGCTAGGGAGAAGGTGGGAGCTGCAGATGGCAGCCAGCTGCAGCAGGAAAGGTGGAGGAAGCTGGTGGCTTAGGTGGCGGTGGTCGGCTTGCTGCTTTTACCTGTGCTGCAACCCAGGACTATGTGTCTGGTGATAGCGGGAGGCCTGAATCGTGTCTTGTTTTTGTCTGTTAGCACAAAAAGAAGGATGCTGAGATCCTTCACTATCCAATTTTCTCCATGAGCTTTTAGGGGGAAACGTAATTTTGCTTTGTACAATTTACGGTTGTAGCGTGCAAGACATTTTCACTGTAAGGAAAGGGGCAAAGAGATCACTTTTTGCTCTTGATAATTTATACACAGTTCACCACCGTGTCACTACATGCTTCTAATAAGCATGATTTTTATGCTTTTTAAAATATAAAATAAAAATTATCATTTTACAACCAATTTTTTTTGAAGCCTTCCTTCACAGTTTCATACATGCACGGCTGGACACGCTACGCTCTCTCTGATGTCTAGAAAAAAGCATTTTCTGAGTGTTGTTGCTTAGAAAAGAAACTTTTGGGCCAGCAGCTGTGCACATCTTTAATATCTTTGTGAAATTAAAGTACTGTGCTGATTTCACAGACATTGCCAGCTTACTAACCCTGAGGGATTGACTCACGACCACTCGGATA